TTGATTCAACGTGACTAATAAACACACGACTACGGCAATATACGGTTTATCGTTCTTATTATTATAATTTTCATTAAAATAAAGTATATTTATAATGCAATGCCTTTATCACTGCTTAAATACTATGAAATATGTTGCGTGCCTTATTCTGTGAAAGAAGCCACATCATCTCACAGAAGGATTTATTTCAAACACTCGACTGACGTTATGAAGTGAGTTTGGAGTAAAAATATGTTATTAAATGTGGTATCTTCACATGCTTTCAGATGGAGCAGCATTTACTTCACAGAGCCGTAGTTCACTGAGAAGCTATGCAAACAATCCCGAACATCCCGAACAATTTCTTCGATTTCAGAATCGTGCAATAAAATCGTCTGCGATTTTTTTGCGAGTGAACTATATGCTGCTCCATCTGAAAGCACGTGATGATGATTTACTGCTGATTACAGAACCGGCTTTTTTAACAAAATGCACATGACAATCGCATTCCATTAATCGTGCAGCCCTACTTGTGAGCTGTGCTTTATACATTGCTACACTACAGTAGACTTGGACCTTTTTGCCCTATTACCTCTCTGCCCATTTATAGTCAAAATTCCGTGGGTCGATAGGAATGCATGTGATCGGGAAGTGAGGGACAAGTCATGAGAAAATTTCACCATGTGAATTACGCATCAGATTCAAGTTTGTTGAACTTTTAACATTCAAATTCACCAGGTTTACAAATATAAAGGACAATTGACTACTTTGCCCACAAAATTTGTTCAAAGCTGGGCTAATTTGACCAATTTATTTATATAGTTGACCAACACTCTCCGTTTCATTATTATAAAATAATTTGGAAACACTTTAGTTTAGGGACCAATTCTTACTATTAAGTTGCTTATTATCATGTCTATTATTAACATATTGGCTGTTTATTAGTACTAATAAAGCACATATTCTGCATAACCATATTCTATATCCCTAATCCTACCCAATACCTAAATTTTACCACTACATTACTAACTATTAATTAGTTTATTGAGGCAAATTTGTAGTTAATGGTTTATTAATTTCGAGAATTGGACCTTAAAATAAAGTGTGACCAATAATTTCAGCTCAAACCACTATCCACCTAATTTATTATTTGGTGAGTAGTCAATAAGCTAGATCATAAGCTAAGTCACAACCACTTCAGGGTGATAATTTTCATTGTTTGAAGCTTTTTATATTTAACCTGAAATTCTTTAAGGGGACTGAGGCTCCTAAGGGAGGACAGGTTCAGAGAAGCCTGTGAGAATTGCTGTGAATGCCTCATGCTGAGATTATTATTTGTCAGTGGGGAGAAAAGAGGCATCGTGAATCCAAATGGCTGATGCCAATACCACGTTCATCAGTAGAGCTGTTGGGCAGCCGTTTGAAATGGCATTGATTTCCCCAGGCCTTATTGTGTTTACAGTGCAGCACCCTTATCAGGGTATACGCCTTTCAATTAGTCAGCAGCCCTTCAAAGGCAGTAAACAAGGGCGACAAGTGATTACATATGACTTGTCCTCAACATAACTACTGCCTGTGATTTACAAAACATGTCCAAGTATGTGGGTGGAGAAATAACATGCAAAATCACTCTTTCAAAATTTCTGATTACTGAGTCTGAGGGGTCCAACACATTACAGCTAAAACCTGACATAGATGACATTACAATGAAATCAGTTTCTACCAGTTAAAGCAGTTAGAAATGATGTGAATAAATGCGAGTTCAATCAAACTAAATGGTCACACTTTATTTTAAGGTAAAATTCTCACTATTTAACAATCCATTAACTACGACTTTTGCCTCAATAAACTCCTAATTTGCTGCTTATTAATAGTTAGTAAGGTAGTTGTTAAGTTTAGGTATTAGGTAGGATTAGGAATGCAAAAAATGGTCATGCAGAATATGTGCTTTATAAGCACTAATAAACACCCAATGTGTTATAATTGGCATGCTATAATAACTAGTTAATAGTGAGAATTGTTCCCTATACTAAAGTGTTACCACCTAAATTTTACTGGGAATATCCTGTCAGCCTCACATCTGAAATCTTAAAGTAAAGTTTGTGTGTGAAAACACAGCCATCTGAATAATTACAGGAAATCACTACAATAAAACTGCAGTTAAAGGCACAATATGTAAGATTTTTTTTATTAAAATATCCAAAAACCACTAGAACAGTGTTATATATTTTGCTGACTTGTGTACTTACATTATCCCAAATGTTTCAAAGAATGTTTAAATCCAGAGAAATAAGCAATTTTAACTAGTGACACGGAGCGTGTCCATAGTGTCATTGTGTCGCCTGCCAATGACGTCATAACCCCTCGATTTCCGGTTTTGTTTTGTAGAAAACATGGAAACACCAAAGACACTTTAATATGCTATGCATTTTATTAGACAGGTGACGACCGCACAGAGTAGCATTATAACAGAACGTTCAAATGTATCTAGTATGATAAAACAGCGCTGCTTGCTTCCGCTGCTTTCTGGAAGGAGCGGAAGTGGTCAACTGTGGCATAATAAAAGCTCCGCTGCTTTCAAGCCGTGTGTCGCGTTCGTTCAGCAGCCTCGTTTTGTTTCGACGGCTTTCAGCCTCACCCTGCTTCATACTACGACATTACTAAATCTTTAATACATTAGCTCATCCATGAACATGATTTCTGCCCGAGTCCCGTTGGATTGCTTCGGCTGTGGGAATGAAGACCACAACTCCCGTGATCCCACACTCAGTTATGGCGTCATCTAACTACGCCTTTGTTTCTTTTGAATACGCGCCCTCTAGTGGCAAAAAATTACATGTTGTGCCTTTAAAGAAACCAAACAGTTTCGACTCCCTCAGTGAACTGCTCAAGCACATATTTAGTCAATCATTTCATAATATCCTGTTTTACTCTGCAATGGGGATATTTATATATTAAAGTGTCATTAATATAAAATACTAAATCAGCTATTCTATTTGTGTTTTCACCATGTATACAAAATAGAATAATTTAATAACTGATGACAGTCAAGGCAGAATCCCAGTAAAAGAGATTCAAGGTAAATATATTCCATAACTTAAAAGTAAATGAATATATAAATATTTAATTGCCCTTTTTTAAATTGAAGACATGGCATCTTACCCCAATAGTCTATTTTTACATTTTCACTTAAAAATAAAAATGTATTTGTTACTTAAAAAAAAAAGTTACTTCACAAATCCAAAAACGTGTCTACAAATGTATAATTAAAAATAGACACAAAACCTATTTGATATTCAACATAGTATATCATATACTACATATCATAGATTACTATTTTCCAGAAAAACAAAATTTGATTAACCTCAAAACCACACGTTGGTATTGGTGGATTATTATGGAGACTCTCCTCATAGGTGTAATGTTTTATTTTTTTATACCTGTATTTTCTATCGCCCTACACATAAACCTACCCCTAACAGAAACATTTTGCATTTTTAGATTTTAGAAAACAGCATTTAGTATGTTTTTCAAGCCTTTTGAATTATGGGGACAATGTCCTCATAAACCACCTTCACGTTGTAATACCTACCATATCATTATACAAATTTGTCTCCTCGTAAACCACCCAAACCAGTGCTTTTTATCTAACTAAATCTCACAAATGCTGATATTGGGATGAAATGAACTGCATAGCCATTTTTTAAATGTGTTGAGATAAGATTTTGTGCCATCTATGGCGGAGAAAAAAAATGGTGTCATCACACCTTATCTTACCCACGTTTGATGCTAAATAAATAAATAAAAAGACAAACCGGCGACAACAATCACAACAGTGAGGTAACATTTGCATTCATAAATCAGTAAACAAACCTTTCATCCTTAAATAATTAATGCTGCAATTATGACAATAAACAGCAACGACATCTTATGCAACGTGACCTTAGAAAGCCTTGTGACTCAACAACGTATGTAGCAGAACAATTAAGCTGAATAAAGCTGGTAGCTTGTTTTTCTTAGAAGTAAATGGCATAGCAGAGCCCCTGCACTTGAGTTCAAGCATTATCTCCGAGCCCAAAGACAGCTCTTTTGTTCTTCGTGATGTTTGTTTATGTGTATCTCTGTTTATAAGGGCGGTAAAAATGAATTTGTTTTTGTTAAACGAAATTGAGTTTCTTGCATCTTCGCTTCTCTGTTTCTTCTTTACTGGGTCAAGGCACGAATAATCACATGCTGTCAAAATTGTATTTCTTCATTTGTTTCTGACAACCTAGACAGATATGCGTAGCTTTCGCCCGTGCTCACACACACGATAAAAGAGCAAGCGTGTAATCGAATAACAAGAAATGATAAAGGGACAGCAAATATAAAAGAAAAACATTTTAATCAAATTAGAAACAGTGGATATCTTTGCAACAGTGGTCGTGAAATAGCCTTATGATGATATATATATATATATATATATATATATTTGCAATATATAATAAACTAGACGATAGATAGATAGATAGATAGATAGATAGATAGACACAGAGGCAAAGACACAGGTGCTGTAATCCATTTAGCCTTTATTTTTTTTCATCTCTAAGGTCTGAGGTACTATAGCAATTATACCTTGGAGTTAGAAACCATCAACCCCTCTGGTTTCTCCTAATGAGAAAATAGCAAAGGTGATGTGACACCCCTTTGGTGTTTGTCCACATAGCAAGAAAGAGTTTGTCTACTAAAATTACTGTTTAACATTATGAGTAACTTCTTAGTTCACTGTTGTGTAAGTATGGACAGATGCTGTGGGTTTCTGCGTTTGTAGTGTGTACATGTTTGGTTAGCCTATTTTTTTTTTTCCTTTGCATGTGCTTGAAACCCTTTGAGGTTTACAGATCTATCTTTGACATATTAAGAAAACAATCATCACATTTTAGGGCAAATAAGAATAAAACATTAATCCTGTACAGCCCATTACATTTGATTAGCAAACTGAATTGCAAATGTAACAACTAAAAACATTTACATTCGGTCACAGATACTTTGCAAGTCCGGAAAGTGTCCAGACTGGATATCTGCATGTTTTTTTCTCTTTTCTTTTTTTGCCTACTATATTTATAGAATAAAATATAACACACATTAAGCAACATGTGTCTGTATTAACACAATAACATGGCTCTCTCACATGCCACAAACAACCCATAGCACACATACATTATTCTATTCCCTGTGGCAAAATTATGTTTCCGCTCTTAATGTTATTATATAATAAATTTCGTATTACGATATAGGTGCAAATCACGCTCTTAATACTGTTGCCCCAGAAGGGGGGCATGCAAATAATAACTACTAATAATCCTCCAAGAAAAATCTCTGAGCATGGATATTTATGACAGATATTTGCATACTGCCTCTAAGCTCAAATCTGATTGGACAAGGGGGCCCTAGGTCACGTGTGAAAGCCTAGGCTTAATAAACCAGATTAAATACCTTTTTATTTATTTATATATATATTCCAGGAGCTCGTCAACACATTTCTGGTATTACTTGTCTGCCAGCGGTCTTCATGTCCCAAAACAATTTATTCAAAAGCTTCACCTACAGTTTTAACACACAAGCTCAGTCAATCAAGCTTTGCGCCAGTCAATATTCTTAAATTGAATATTGAGGGGAGTTAAATTGAGAAATGCAATCAAGCTCACTCTCATCACCCAGAACTGACCCTCTTTTCATCATTTTCAGCCAAAGCACATTCTGCATGAATGATTTTGCCTCAGTTAATAAATTTTGGCTGAAACACTGTACATGTTGAAGAATGAATGGGTCAACTGAGGCTTCATTCATACTGATGTATAAGTGATCCGAGAACCATAAGCACACTTTTGAACTGTCTATCATCCATCATCAAAGAACACAGTGGGAACATAGTAAATATCAGATAACATATGGCAATTACAGTGTTAATAAACCGCAGCACAGATGAAGAGCTCTGAAATGATGAGACATAGACAACAGTATAGCGACAACTCACATAATAAACCACCATGAACGCCTCTAGATCCTTTATATGTATGAAAATATCCCACTTACGATATTTGGGGAAGCAGAATCATGATGGCTGTCAAAAAATCTCAGAAAAGCGCTGATGTATCTCTCAGCTCTGAATTAAAAGCATGAAAGATCTTATCAGCTTTAAATGACAAATTAACACCTCTCATATTTAACAAAAAGAAAACTGTTAGCTGTATCACTATACTCTTATGCAGAAAGCGACAAAAACACTTTTTTTCTGTACTCTCGTTGTTCTTCATTTTTCAAATGGGATCCAGAAAGCATGTAGAAGAGCCATACGCTGCCACAGTGAACTCATAATGGCTGCCATTGTACTGTGACCCATTCAGCTTTTCTATGAAGGATAGAAAAATAAAAAGGATAGAAGAAAGGGCCTCTCAGTTTTATGATGCATCCCTGATACATCAAGAAGCCAATTGAGATGCAGAAACACATCGCAAACGAACAGCACAAGAAGACAAAACCATCTCCACACGTTAGAGAGGATGACAAGTTCGAGAAAACCGCATTGTAACGCATGAAACTGACACATGCACAGTTAGAACAGTTTCACAACATTTTCTCCGTTAATAATTTACAGTGTTTTGGCAGTAGACTTCAAAATGGCGGCTGGGCAGAGAGAGAAAGAGAGAACGCGAGAACACACAGAGGCCGTGCGCATCTGCAGTTTCTCACATGCTCGTGTTTTCATGTTTGTCTTATTTTTACAAGTGACTGTCCTGACGGGTCCACAAGCTTCTGCTTTCCTTCATGAGTTCAGAACAAACAGATGGTGTTTGTGAGAAACTTTGGGGTCCTCGTGTTTCTCGAGAAGCTCCTTGGCTTCCAGTTCTCATGTTTGTGCCAAATGATGACATGTCGAGAAAAAGCAACAGAGACTTTCCCTCGTTTTACTCTGTCCTTCACCCATTAGAGTGGAGTGGCCCGGCTCCCCCTGTTGGTGTGGAGGGGTTACGATGCTCAGCAGGCAATCTCCTCTAGCGTGCCCAGGGTGGTCTGGAGGGGAACACTGACCGTGTGGCTAATCGATTCCGAATGGTTTACCACCGGATCACAGGTACTCTGTGAAAAAAACACAGATGTTTTCGTTCTTAAAACTGTGCGCCCAAGGCTCAACACAGTCATTCCACACACTGAGTTCGTGATATCTAAATAAATTATTTGAAGCTTAGCAGGCAGTTATTTTTTACCACATCCTCTCCATGACTCTCTTCCTCCTCCTCTCGGTTCAGCAGGTCCAGCAGTCTCTCCTTCACCACCTGCCAGCACACATCACAAACCACCATCTCATTCACTGCCAAAGCAGGTCTCAAACTGCTGGCCTCAGAACAGCTTTGTAGCTCTGCCAGCGCTGCGTTAATCAAATCAGCGACATGGGTTGCAGCCCAGGGCACTGACCACCGAGGGATCACGGGATCAGGAAATCACATAGGAATTGAAAATGGTGATTTGGATTGGGAAAATCACGAAATTTGGTCTAGCTTTCAGTTCAGTGGCTCTGCAGATCCCCATGTTGGCAATGAACAAATGATCTTCACCCATCTCAAATGCCACAGGAATGGACTTTTTTTTTTTTCCAAGTTGGAGCTAATAAAATAGTGAGAACTTTCATAAATCAAAACAAACTGAACTTCTTGATGGTGATGTCAACATTGTTGCCAACTTAGTGACTTAGTTGCCAGTTTTTTTTTACTTTTCCGAGCCCTT